AGTCTGAGCATGAGGAAAAGCTTGTTTCCTGTGAGGGTGCCTGATCACTGGAACAGGTTGCCCAGAGAGGTAGTGGAGTCTCCTTCGCTGGAGATATTCAAAAGCCATCTGGACACGATCCTGGGCAATATGCTCTAGAGGACCCTGCTTGAGCAGGGAGGTTGGACTAGATGATCTCTAGAGGTCCCTTCCAACCTCAACCATTCTGTGACTGTGCCCCCTGTGGCATTTCCAGGCAAGCAAGAGTATTGGGCCTAAAATGACCTCAGCATAACTGTGCAGCTTCTCGGAGTGATACAACAGGGCTGAAGTGGGCTTGGAAGATCTAAGGATACCAGAGCCCAAACCAGCATCAAAGGTGCCTTGAAGGACACCAAAAAGTCATTCCTGGACTTCATAAAAATTCTAGATAGGTTATTTTTTTCAGGTTTGTGTCAAAGTACAGTAAAGACAGCTCAATGCTCTGCTTCCTCTGCAGTCTTTGGCCAGCTAACAGTTCTTGGAGTCTATGGAGACAAAAGAGACGGCATATCTTAGGCACAGTAGGAAGCTGGTAGTCCCAGTCCAGCTGCAAGCACAACACCCAAGTAGCTACTGAAGGCCAAGGTCCGAGTCAGAAAGATGTTCCCTTTTATTTCAGAAAGCCAGTCTAGAAGCTTGTTGCCGGGCTACTGGCTGCCTCTGCAAGCCATAGCTCTGCCAAAATCAAGTCAGCAGTTAGTGCTGCCTTCTCCCAGGACATCCCACTGGGGCTTGAAGCATATCTGACAGGCCATCATGGAGCAGAAGAGTGCTATCCCTTGGGTCTCTCCTTTACACCCTACAAATTTTGCTTGGAGGGACCCCAGACAAGAAGTTCCTTCTCTAGTGAGTTTTCAAAGTCAAATGATAAACTAGGCAGTCAAAATAGAGAAAGGAAAGCCTCCTTAAAAAACAGCCACTGTCAATGGACAATAGCAAAGTACTTCAGACATTGGCTGATGCTCAATCTTTCTTCCTCTTAGTGAAGAATTTTCATTTCCCAAGGCACCATGATGTTTAGAGACTAGTCCCAAAAATCATATGGCATATCAATGGAAAAGCCAGAAGCTTAAACACACGAGTGTCACAGTTGCCCTTCCTAACATTCTGCCTCCCCACTGGCACCCCTTCACCTCAGGGCTGCATTTCTGCTGTTTCCTCTTGGTTTCAACAGCTTCTTTATGCCAATTTGCAGCAAGCTCATAACTGAACATGGCCTGAGGCCTCCAAAGGGAACTTGGGGGTGCCAGCTCCTGCCTTTGTGGCTCCCCACAGGACAAGAGGAGCATCTTATGCAGGCGGCCAGGCAGCAGCTCTTCTTTGGAGGCAAACCACGTGCTTGCTTCTGATCACTGCACCCTGGCACACACACGGCAAGGACAAATTACACCCACAGGGCAAAGCCTGCGGAATCAGTCTCTCAGATAAAGCAAGGGAGCTCTCTCACCCTAGAAACTCTCAGGCTAGCACTGCAATGGAGGCATATCCACAGCTAATAGCTTAGCAAGTCCTTTTGGGCAATACTATCATTTTAAAGCCTGATCTCTTCTTCCTTATTAGCATTCAAGTGGGAGGCAGTGAACATCCCACAAAGCCTTTTGGGTTTTTATAACGTAACCCAAAGTAACACAAGATGCCTCAGGGACAGCTCAGTTCACTGCAGAACAGGTTTGAAATGCCTGGGGACCCTGAGATTCCAAACAGGACCTTGGCTGGGTTGGTTCATCTTGTTAAGCTTGAAAGACTGACAAGAAGCTCTCTGTAGGGTGCAAGCTTTTGGGGAAAGCCTTCAAAGACAGGGTGTTCTCTTGTGCGCAGTGTTTTGCGGTTTCCTGAGAAAGGGTTGCCCTAGGTTGCTTGTCCAGACTCTGCCTTGGCTGCCTGTCCTAGCCAGAGCACGAGCACTGGGCAGATGGACAGAGTGCAATCAGACAGGCCTCCATGGGAGGAGCGCAAAGGCTTCATGTGTGCCCTTGCACCTCTGCCAGGGCTGGCCATTGCTCCACTCTACATCTGAGAAGCAGCTGCATTTGGGGAGCTGAGAGTGATATTTCTGTATGCACAGCTGGGAAAGCCTTTGGAATAAAACCTGAGGGGTGAAAGCAGTACCTAGACCCTAGCAGACTAACAAGCACCAAAATAATCTTTAAGCCCAATGCTCACTTTATTCCATTCACTCTGAAATTCTCAGCAACGCTACATTAAAAAGACAGAAGCAGGCTCTTTATTGCCCTTCCACAGTAACTGGAAACAGCTCCTGGACAGTGTGATTAGTGCATTATCGTCCTTAATTAACTCCAGACCATTCCCACAGGCCACAGAATATACCAAATATCCAGCATCGCTGTCACTGAAGGGTGGGGGTGGCTCTCTCACCCCTTAACATGGCAAAAGACTATTTGGCCAGCAAAGCACCTGGACAGCAAGATGGCCCCAATGCATCACAGTCCCTGCACAGTCTTTCAATGAGCTCTTCTTTGGCTGAGATGCAACCGAGACATCAGCAGATAAAGCTCTTAGGTCAGGTTTTCAGAAAGCCTCTGCTTTTGTTGCAGCAGATGTTTGCCTCATTTACACCAGGGGAACTAGGGCAGGCAGCCTCATGGAAGGGACCCAGATTTGTCTCTAGAACTGGATTTAAGTTATGACTATCCTGCTGTCTAAGCAGTACCCTGTAATTAGGCAAAAAAAGGTGCCTACAGAACCAATTTTGGCTGGGAGGTGACTTCTCTGCCCCTCCTGTGGCCAGGGCTGGTCAGAATTCGGATAGGTTCTTCATGCAGCGTCTGCAAGACATCTTCTGAGGAAATACAGCCAGCTCTAGGGCAAAACAAGGCTCAGCAGCACTCGGGTAGTAAGAACCCTGCAGGCTTGGGTGAGCCTATATGCTCTGCCTTGTCACCAGGCCCACATGGTGCTCCCCAGGAGATGGGGTCCTGTGTGGAACCTGGACTTCACTGGGGAGCAGGACCCCGTGGGAGCACTACAACTCAGTAAAGAGTTCAACCACCTCCCTTCCACATTGAGTCCACCCAACCTGTGCACTAGAACAACAGGATCTTTGCACCCCATGCAAGGGAAGATCTGGGAAGCATTCAGCAGTAGGGGAACCACAGACCACCCAGGTTTGCTCAGCTACTCAGCTTGCCTTGGCAAGGTCAGCAGAGTCCAGCCACAGATACTGCACACATACCAAATCCTTACAGTTAGGGCTGAATTGCCCCAAGATAGAAGAGAAATCAGAGTGGTACACTTAACCCTGCCCACAGGGAGAGCTGGCTCTGGCTAGGCCAGCTCAGTCCCCAGATGCCCCAGCTGCTGCTGGCCTGAGAGCTAGGGACTGTGCTGCACTGGGCTAATAGACAAAAGCTTTGTTTATTTCCCCCATCATCATCTTCAGCACTGACATAGGGGTGGCTAGCGCCACCAAGCTGTTTAGCATGAAGTAAGGGGTCTGGAAAAAAGGTCCGAGACCCAAGGCCTCCAAGCACCCCTCCTCCCAAGCAAGGGCACAGCTACAGCCTCTATCTGAGGCTGGCCTCTGCTGAGGAATGAAGTCCTGACCCGAGAGGTGAACTGGCCTGTCTTAACTCTTCCTTACCCTCAGCAGCATGAGCCAAGGGAGGCTGCTATCACTTCCGAGCTCCTCTGCCACAACCCTAGTGCGAGGATTTCCAAACCTGTCTGCATTGCCATGGCTGTCCCTCCACCCTGCCTGGCTCCCAGCCACAGGGCTGGGTCACCTCCATGGCTCAACTGCCAACCTTATTGAGCTTCTACAATCAGGCCACGCCCCTTACTTGGCATGGCAACCCCATTCCAGGCCAGCTAAAGGAGATAGCCTATAAATGACACTCACCTGAGGACAGATGAGTTTCTTAAAGAGCTAAGTTTATCAGAACTCTTCCAGAAAGTCCAACTGTCATAGATTTTTAAAACTTGCTGGAGGATATTAAATATAAGAGTTAAAGTAGGAGTAAAGTAACCATAATGCACTGAAGGTTCCCCCCCCCCCCCCACACAAGACCTGTACACAATAGTTAGTTTTTCTGAGTCACTGTCACTGCAAATAACCCTGGGAGCTAAGAATAGGCAAAAGGAATCACAACAAAGCCCTTTGATGTGCAAGGATCCCACTGGAGTGGGAGTCTCAGCTTTGCAGTTATCAGGAATGGCAGATCTCAAGTCACAGGCTGCAGTAACAACAATAACTCTGCTTGGAAATGGCATTGGGCTCCCTGAAACTTTCCATAAATACTGTACAGCAGGAGGGTTACTGATGACAAACAGCAGAAATGGTCCTTCCTCAGCAGAGCTAAGAATACCCTGTGCAGTCATCACAGCAGGCTCTGGAGGTATAAATCAGGTGCATTCCTCCAACACACTTGGAAAGGCTATTTTCAACTCATTTTACCAAATTAAGACATGTGCATCACAGGCTGCTCTCTCTCTCTCCCTGCAGTGTTAATCAAAACCCTAAAATTGGCACTGAAAGATGAAGAGAAGGAAACTCCTTGATCAATCCCATTCACCTCCCCCAAATCAGCTAGGATGAGATGTTTGCAAAGGGAGTTAACTCCACAGGATCCTAAAAAACATGTCTGAGATGCATGAGCATAATTGCCAGTGGCCAACAGGCAACAACAGTGCTCGAACATGGGCCTGCAAACACTGTGGCAGGTAGCCCCAAACCTTGTGGGGGAGGAGCAGCTCTCTGTGCACTGCACCCAGGACACAGTGTGGACATGTCAGGACCCTGTCCCAGCCCAGCAGCACTCAGATATGCGGCTCAGAGGATGCCCTCTGCTCACCACCCCAAAAAGGGCCAGTAAAGCTTCCTAGCACTGTCCTTTGTCCCTCACCAGCCAAGGGAAGGGAACCAAACTGTTTGTGGGCTTGTACACCTTTAGGAGAGCTTTGCAGGGTTGGATTAACGCCAGTCTGGTTGGAGACATTTGCATCACAGCTCCAGCGTTTACCTGTTTGCCTCCCAGCAGCCTGAGTTGAGGAGTTTCCCCTGGGTGATCTCTGGCCACACCAGCAGGAAGGGCAGAGCTGGACCCCAAGCCTGCTACTGCCGTGTGCAGATAGACTCCAAACCAGAGGCTGATTCAGGATCAGAGCCTCTTCTACTGCCTCGTACAGAAAAATGGGAGGAGAATACAGGTAATAGAAAATATCAGAGGAAGAAAAGTTTTTATTGCATGAATAGGTGCCAATCCGTTTGGCTTTGATCACACTGACCCAACCCACTGCCCAAACCAAGTAAAACTCCAGAGACAAACAAACCTCCCACACAGCACAGAAAGCACCCAGGTGCCAAGGTAATCTCTACAGAAAGGGCCTGTGAGGCTGGCAGCAACACAAGAGAGCTCCTTCCTCTGCCCTGCCCAGGAGTTTAGTGTTGTCAGCATTCCCTACAGGCTCAGCCAAATCACACCTGAAGGAGAGGGGCTTGAGGTAGCAGAGAGGGGGAGTGTTCCTCCTGGAGCTGGTGTAAATGCCTGGGCATTCACTTACAGTGCAATACATATTCAGTCCCTTGTCTAACACGCTGCAGGATAGGTCATTGCCCCAAGGGCAAATTTGATCTACTGCTATTGGAAGCCCTTGCATACATCTATACACGGGGGGGGGGGGAGACATTGGTGGCCAGCAGTATTTCAACAAGCAGGAATTTTAGATTTGCCAGGGGTTGTCATATGACTTTTTGGAAGTCCAGATTTTTCCTCTCTGGGATGCACCATGTAAAATATTGCTAGGAGCACGTATAGATATTGAGATGAACAGCCCAGAAGTTTCACCCTATGTAAATCACAGAAGGCTGAATACTAATTGGAAAGTTGGACTTTTGTAATGCAGAAGCCCCAATTTCACCATAAGGTCCATTCTAAGCCTGCTTGAGGCCACATGTGTGTCAGTGCAAGACATGCCTGTGCAGGATATGCTGTACAACTAGCACTAAAAAGCTCTTAGATAAGAGTTAATGCCTCAGGTTTATCCAGTCTGGGTATGAGCAGGTGATACTAGTTTAAGATTATTCTTGAAGGAAAAACTTCTACTATTCCCCCCCCACACCTTTGTATTCCTGCACTAATTACTAATCTGATGCAAGCCCAGGTATTACTAATGGTGACAATTTTTAGAGCAGAAATCTCTCCCTTCTATTTGAAGGAAGAAAAAAAGCACAGAAGAAATCTGTTCTTGTCACTTTGGAGACTAAGCCTGATGTTTTCCTATCACAGCAATACCTTGGCCAAATTCGGAACAGACAGCATTTGGCACCTGCTCAGCTCAGCCCTTGCTGGTGTCCATTGTCAGCAAGGGATATTTCTGGTCCCAAGAACAACTTTCAAGCCAAGGTACCTGTGCCTTTGGTTAGGCTCTTTAAACAGGACTGTAGCTTGCCTGTATATAAAAGAAATGTGTGTGCATGTATGAATAAAAAATTGTGAGAAATAATGCTCATTTTAACATGTTTCATACATATAAAGTTCCACTCCATAGAGTCCAGCAGTCAATTTTTCAGTTGAGGAGATCCCACAGACAGGAGCAGGTTTAAACATATACCTCACATCACCTAGTCCCAGGGGCTTCTAGTTCTGGCCATCCCATTTAGGTACCCAGCCAAAAGGCACAAAAAAAAACATGAAAAAAGTCAGCCTTCTGGCATTTTTGGTGTACCCCAGAGCAGGTGTATTCAGAGAAGTAATAAGAATAGTATCCACTACATCTTGGGCTCACCATTCCGAAACACAGCTGCACTGCAAAGAGGTACGTGGCTGCTGTGGTTGCAGTAATCCTCTGTAGCACTGGGGAGGCCACAGCACTCATCTCAGCTTGCCAGGGCCTACATCCTTCCTCACCTAGCCTGAGAAATACATAGACTCATGGTTCGTTGTTCCTTAAACTTAACTGAACTTTTATGCATATGCTAAAAATCTCATTAAAATTAATAGGATTTAAGAACAAGTATAAGTACTTCTACTGACTCAAGACGTAAAGACCTAGGCATTCAAAAATTTCAACTATTTGCTGGAAAGCACTTAGTTAAATACAAAGTGTAGATATGTAGGTAGAAATAGCTATATTTACATTCCATTTTCAAAAAGCAGCATTTTTGACCAAAACAATCTCTAATAAAAACAGTCAACTCTGAGCTCAAGTGGAAGACACACGTACGCGTGAAACTTGCTGAGGGGAGGGGGGAAAAAAAAAAGAAACGCACACCAGAATTTTTAGATTAGATTTGCAAAGAGACATTGGTAAAGTGGTTCTATGAGACAGCTGCACAGACACCGGAAAGCTATTAAAATAATTTTCTATTTGTGCAGCATGCCACTACTGGTGCAATCCAATCTCGGGGCAGTCTGACTGGTTATATATTAAACACCAAAGAGACATTGGTAAAGTGGTTCTATGAGACAGCTGCACAGACACCGGAAAGCTATTAAAATAATTTTCTATTTGTGCAGCATGCCACTACTGGTGCAATCCAATCTCGGGGCAGTCTGACTGGTTATATATTAAACACCCTTTGCCATCAGAC